GTGGATTTTGGGAGAGAGAAGTATTCCTACTGAGGCAACACCAGATATGTGCTGGGTTCCATTTATCTTCAGTAAATGTATACATATATATATATATGTGTGTATTTAGTCATTATTAGATTTCTTTTGTTGTTATCATGAAAATTGCAAAGAAATAAATAATCAAAACTCACCTCTTTAGAGCCTCTGTGAAGATTGAAGAATGGCAACTTTAGGGAGTCAAAATCCAAATGCAAAAGTAACTGCAGTGTGTTGTGAGTAATGTAACATAAAGGCGTCAGGACTCGATCACATTCTATTTGGAATATCATATCATGGGGACATTAATGGCCAGAAGCAAGAGAAGCTGTGATGTGACAAACTCAATATGAGTGATATGGAAAGATGAAAGGATCCATTACCAATAGCAGAAAAGATAAGTTGGATAAGTTGTTTAATCCAATTTGTCAAGGCAGGAGAAGACAATTCATGAGGAATACCATAGCAAAAAAAAGGACTATGTCAATTGCCATGAAAAGAAGCACTGCAGTTGAGATAACTACAAACTGCCTAAACAGGACAAAGGAAATGATCATATAAGTAAGAAAAAGAATGAAGCATGATTGGAGAAACTATCATATTCCCCTTGCAAGCAGCCCAAGTCTTGGGTAGGAAGTAATAGTCTGGGAACAAAATCAATTTGTCCCTGTGGTAAAGTGAATGGGATATGTTTCAGGTAAAAATAACAAAGTGATGTCTCCTGCAAGCTAGAAGGAGAATCAAATATGTCTTATGAGAAACATGGTAATGAACAGGTGGCCAAAGATTCAAATGGAAGACCTGTAAGAGACCTGAGAACTAAATACAGGTTACAGTTCAGAAGAGGAACTGGATGAGGAGGATGACCGAGTAGAAAGGCTTGGGAGGTGTCTGTATCTACTGGAAAAGAAAAGGATAATGACCAGTGAAAAGATGAAAGGTCATAGATAAAACTACATAGTAACCATATAAATGGATAGACTAACATAAAGGAAGCAAGATCAGGAAGAGTCAGATGACTTGGAGTAAGGGAGTCGTAATTGAAACACCACTGACATACCATCCACTTGCAAAGGTAAATTGTAAGGGTGGAAGGCAAATAAGAGCAAGCAAGAAAACAGACTAGTCTGCAAGGAAAACCTGCCCATCTTGCAAAGGGATCAGACAAAAGCCACACATGAAGATGAAGGTATGAAACATTGTGGTGAGAGATGAAAGTCCGAGGCTGGCATAAAAGCTGACCTCCAAGACAGAAGAGATAGAAACCCCAAGAACACTAAAAGGTGAAGGAGTGGAAATTGTGATTGAGCTGACCAAAGAGGGGCAATGGTAAAAATTTGGCAAGTGGTGCTGTAAATTAAACACACCATTCTGGGAAGAAGCTGAAGATGATGATAGGTATAGAGAGTGAATCCTGCCAGAGCCATGGAATCAGGGACTGTTTACCAAAAAATTGGAAGATTGATATAGAGGGAAGTCACAAATGCATTAATAAAAGGACTCCCAAAGTGGGAACAAATTCACAGAAGCACCAGAAGATATACAGAATACTCTATAGAAAGAGCTTGGTCTGGGATAGACAGCCTATCTACTATTAAATTCAAAGATCCCAGAAAATTGAAGACCCAAAATCACATGCTTTTGTTGTGAGCCCAAAAATGGAACTTGTAAACAAGAAAACAGAGATCTCAAGAATAAGTACTTACCTCTCAATTGATGTAATAAATGATAATGAAGCTGTCAAAATAAACTAAAACAGGATGTCCAGTCAGCTATAGCAAAAGATGGTGCCCACATCTCGAGGATATTGATGTGGAAAGACCACTCTACATGAAATCAAATATGGAAAATGTTGAAGGTATCCAAAACTGTATCTCCTCTGGCTAAAGAGGCATCCACGAAAAGGTGTTAATTCAGGTATAGTGGAGGCAAATGGATGTTCAAAGATATGTGGAAATATATGAGCCACCACTACAACAATAAGAGGTAAAGAAATGAGAGAACACATTGCATCAAAGGGTAGAAATTTCATTAATCTGCCAACATCCACTGAAGCAGACATAATAGGATATATCCAGAGGAAGATGGGGTAGGAGAAAGCTGAGAGACCCCAAAAGAGACCGAATCTCACACTAGGAAGAAAAGGAGACATAAAAGCCTTAGAAACCAGAAGCTTCATATCTCAAAATGCATTATCATCATTAGACCTAGCCACCAAGCCACTAAGATGTATTTAATTATGCTTTCCACTAGTAAGCCGACTGCTGCTAATCAAAGTCGAGATAAAGCTAACTTTATCTAATGGTACAAACCCCAAGTTAAAGTTATCCCTAAGCATACCAGACGACTATGGAAAGGGGATATTCTCCTTCAGCCCAAGATTTCGGATGACTCCAAATACTTTGCCATCCATGATACTCAAACCCACAAAAAAGCAGTGCCAGCCTACACATTGTTTTCTTAAGAAATGTTGACCAATCTTTCACTACAGACGAAATCCTCCAAGCCCTATAAATAACCACCCATTAAAAGATTCACACCATCCACTGTATAACATCCAGGAAAACAGGGCTGCCTTCATACTTCATAAAAATTGTAGCATTATCTGAACAGACTGCAAGCTATATCCTCAACTTATACCATTTCAAGGCAGAAAAACCTTGTTGAAAGCCACACCTGGCCTCAATCTTATCCAGCATACCTCCCACATTACCTCCATGCCACTCCCAAACACCTGCCGCCAACCAAGATAACAAAATCCCTTACTTGAATCAAACAACAGTAACGGACCAACAGACCCAGACGGCACCTATCACCAAAATTAAACAACAAGACAACACAAATAACCACAGCAAAAAGAAAAAAAGCAATCCAAACCCAGCCATAACAAGAAAACCATGTTTAACCAGTAACCACCTCCAAGAAATCACAACAAACTAGCAATCTGAATAATCAACAACATTTTCCATCCCACAAGTCAGACCTGCCTGCTATACCTTCATCGTCAAACTCACCAAACACCTTACAAATAGACACTTACACAGACTCTTCCCATCCACTGAACTACCATATAGATGAGCTGCCCTTAAAGTCCTTCTTCTTCCATCAACCCTCCACCAGTGACAATGAAGATTCCACCACAATCAGGCTTATCCCCAGCTAGAATTCCTTTCTAAGGAAGGTCAGCCAACTGAATAATTCCATTCCATGTTAATAAACATACAGTTCCACCTATCACTCTTGCCTTCTCCAACAAGTGTCTCTTTTATCTATATCTTCACGTTAAACAGGCACTAGTAATGGATTGGTGCCTTACCAGTGAAAATGGGTTTTCTTAGGGTACTCCTATCCCCCACACACAACAAATTCCATGGCATAGTGTTTATAGATCTCCACACCCTGAAAAACCATATGACTGAGAACAGCCATTTGTTAAGAGTTATGCAGAACCGATCTATCCACTTAAATTCACAACCACAACTATGCCCCTACCTTATCCTCAAGTGGGGTGACGGAAGATTGCTTAATATTTGAGCACCCTCCTGATGATTAATTATTTCTCTTCATCAAAATAACTGCCAGATAGTTTAGTTTAACTTCATATCTCAGAAATGTAAAGCAAAAGGCTCAGCCCACTATGCAAATACAGTAGTTAGTACTCCCAAATGAATTGGATACTGGATTGGAGTTAATAGCAACTTAGGAACCCGAACAGCAACCCAAACAAGCAGACTCTTGAATGAGGATGGAGGCCATAACAGATTATAGCTCCTAGGACAGAGCTAGGAGATACCAAATGTTGATGGTAGAAATACATACTAATATAGTGCATTCACCTTGTGAAAACCCTCATGACTTAGTTGAGCTCTGAAATACAAAGAAATCTCCTGAAAGAAAACCTTGCAAAGTGAGTACACAGGTGGAAACTAAGATCCAAGCTCCCACAACATCAAAGCTGAGGGGTAGGTCTAGAGACAACTGATTACCAAACCCAATGATGACACCATAAATAGATCACAGAAACGGGAACTCCCCAAAAAATATCTGTATGAAAGATGGGTGTCACATGGAGTTCCCAGAGATAAAATTGATGGAGTCTAACTCAAGAAATAAGGAATCCCAATACAGCAAGCCTCCCCCCTCCCCTTATAAAAAGCAAATGAACTGGGCAACATCTGAAGAAGAAGAAGAAAATGGGATGGCATAAAGATCAAGTTAGTGTTAACTTCTCCAGTAAAGCTGTCGGGGTAGTGATGCAGCCTCAAAAGGAAAAGATAAAGAAGTTAAAAAGCTAATGACAAAGAAGAGCAGAATGAGGATAAAAGAAGAAGAAAATCCCTATACTGGAAAAAAAAGACCAAGGAAATAAAGCACTAGAAAATAATAGTTCTAACCACAGGCCACAGATGAGGAATATTAAGTGTGGGGAGGATGTGGCAACTAAGAGTCAACATGGAACAGTTAGAAAGAATCTGGAATAATCCAATAATTAGATGAGGGATAAAGAGGGGAAAAAATATCAAGAGTTTAAGTGCACTCAAGAAACTTGCCCAAGTACCAGAAGAAACAACTGGAGTAAAATAACAAGTGTCACATATCTGAATTATCAGAGCAGCAAAAGACATAGGAAGGTGGTAACAGGGTTAGAAGAAACAGAAAGAGAAGTAGCTTGTGGGAAGAGCTAGTTAAAGATGTCCAAAGACAAGGCAGGCTCAACAAAAGTTACAAGAAAAGTTTCTTACAAATTATTGAGAGTAAAAGTTGTTTTTTATAACTTTACTGTAAAAAAAAAAGTCTAGATCCTTCCAGCATGCACAACAAGTTCTGAAAAAAACTATCATATAATTACTAAACATAAATATTTTCTTGTATATTAAGCTTTACCATTTGTAAGCAAAAACAAAACTACAGTCATTCACATTATATAGTTGTATATAATTCTAGCAAAACAATGATATGCATTACTAATAAAAAAAACATACCTGTTTTAAGCAGTGTGATGCAGTAGATGCACGTGATAGCCAAGATGAACTTTCATGAATGGTGAAATATACACAATATTGTCTGAATTGTACAGTTGGATGATACAAGTAACTGTTAATTCTACGCAGACATCCAATATATTTTGACATTTCCTAATAAGAAGAGAAAAAAAATCTGTGTTTGTATGATATGGAAATCTAGTTTTGGTAATATAGTTTCCATGATAAAGCTTTAGAAACTGCTGCTTTATTAAAGAAGAAACATAAATATCAAATGAAATCATACAAACTTTAAGCTCACAGATTAAGTTATTTAATTACATAAAATTTTCATTCATAAACCTATCCTTAAAAAAATTCAAAATACTTTAATCTATACAAAACATATTCACTGTCAAAGAAGTGTTCCAAAAATTATAACTTAAGAAATTGAGTCAAAACAACCTAATTTGAGAGATGGAGAAAGAATGATTGAATAAGTGTTCCACCACCCTTATAAATCATATGTCTTTGGAAAGAGCTAATGGAAAAAAAACAATAATAAAAAATTTGAAGTTCCATCAAATGCAAGATATAACAATAACTTAGCTTAACACTAATAAAGAGCCAAGTATAATGGTCCAACTGTTTTAAGGAGCAAATGGAATAAAATGAAGGTGATCATTAGTTTAAAGTGAGTAATACATATACAAGAGCCTTTTATATAATTCAGGGGTTTCTATTTGATCATGAAGCAGCTGGGTGAGAACCCAAGATGGGAAAGATTTGAATAATTCTGTCAGGCTTAAAAAATTCAGATGTATCAGAAAAATTAAGTAACCAGCAGAACAGCCAGTCAGTCTTCAACAGCTAAGAAATTAAACCTCTTAAAAAAAACCAAACACTTAAAGGAAAAGGCAAAATGGAAACAACTGAAAAAATGTAGAATACAGTGGTACATATATATATTACCAGTAATTAACAAAATGAAATGTTAAACACTTAAGATATACAGATGACATGAACAGGCTATGAGCATAGAAATTCACAGGAAAAATGAAGCATTATAAACTAGTAAATTTAAAAAAAAAAAAAAAGAAGTCCAAAGAACATCTTAATGAAATAACCTTGTATGCAGCTAAGAAGAATGGATTTGAAATCAGGGTTGAGCCAGCCAAAATATCCTTCCATGTTCTAAAAAAACACAACAACGAATGTTATTGATCTTTGTTACAGCTACAACTCATAAAAAAAAAGGTAATTAACGGTATGATTATTCCTAATCTAGAGCTCCGACACCACAGCCATAAGGTATAATACAGTAGATGGAATCATTACCAGATAACTCAAACACTTACAAGCCATTAAAATAATAAAAAAGAACCCCTTAATTACAAAATAATTTGAGTGGATAAAGCTTCCTCAATCATCCTCATTATTTTACCAGCATCTACTAAAGAATTGCCTGGGCCTGCTCTAAGAAATAAGGCATTCTTAAGCAGCTAATATTTTCAATGGAAGCTATTGCTTGGGAATTTAGTGAAATTTGCTAACTGATTAATCAACAAGCTCATTAATCAATGACATTCAACTAATTACTTATTATACCATCAGACCACAATAACAAACACCCTAACTCTTGAACTTTGATACTCATGAAAAGCAGAGCACAGAAGGATCATTATGAGCTTTCTTCTTAACAAACAAACACAACGGCATCTTTTCAATTCCTTGGATAGTTTGAATAATTGAAAATAGTAATGAAAAATCATAATAGCAATATTTAGATTACTGGATAACTGAAAACAGTAATGATCATACACACAAATTTCAATTTGTTGTTTATTTTCATGACATTAATTAATTTAATTGTAATTTCAATTAATTAATTGTTGGAATAATAGAAAATGGTGAAAATTAAAAACAATAATTTCAATTAGTTCATTATTTTCATAACATTAATTGATTTAATCATAATTTCAATCACCTGATTGTTAGAATAACCAAAAACTGTAATAATTCGAAACAGTAATTTCAATTAAAAGATTATTTTTCATGGCATTAATCAACATAATCACTGCTCATAGGTAATCATTTTTATTGCCTAGCCCTACTCTAGAGCAGTGCAAAAAAGGAGAGAACATAATGTACCTGGTCTCTTAAGCACATGTAATGTTTTGAGAAACCTGAATCCAGCTAAGCAAGGTGTTCATAAAAACAACGAGATAACATGATACTAAGTGAAAACGATGAGACTTGACTGCTTCACAAACAAGCCCAAGAAAATACCTTCATGGAGTGTCTTTAGGGTGACAATCTGTGAAAGAGTAAAAGTCAACTACACATTGACACTAAAGTGAAAATCTATTCTAAATGAAGAATTTAAGCTTTATAAAATCAGCAAACTTTGGTGAAAACAAAGTTCTTTCTTGACCAAATGAAAATATATATAGTTGATAAATCATGCCCTAGTGCACAAATTAAAGATAATGATCATTATCCAGGTAATGGAGAATCTGAAGATAGGTATACAAAATATCCAATTTCATTACTCGTTGACTTTCATTTAATGCCGATGCACATGTGTCAATTCACTTTAAAACTGGAACAAAAAAGAATCATTCAGAAAGGAAAGACAGAGGGAATCAGTTACAGCTTTGGACTCTCTGATGCTGGAAAAGTTCAGAACAAATCCACAGAAAAACAAAAGAAAAGGTCAATAGAATTTTAGACAGATTAAGACAATAATGTAGGATCAGAAAAAGGCCGAAATCAGAGAAGTTGAAAATCCCACAGAAAAAAAAAAGAAGAATGGGTTTTAAAAAACAATTAAGCTGTCACTTCCATAAAGTTTGTAAATACAAAACAATTATATTTCAGTGATTAAATACACTGTCTTCCAAAAGGGAGGCCCAATAAGCAGAGGTTTCACAGAGGTTTGCATAAGACAAAGTATTATGTTATGTATAATAATTTTTCACTCAAATATATTTTAGAATTCATATTTTGTAATTTTGCAGCATTCATTTAGTGAAAAAATATATTTCAACTTTCATTTGAACAACCACAGATGATCTTTGACAAGAAAACATTTAGTACCCATCAAAAATCAAAAGAATCATAACAAAAACTTTGTGCAGAACTTTTAAGATTACTTTAAAGAAATGAATTGAGAAATAAAAACTAAAACATAAGCTTGATGCTATAAAGAAAACATTCTAGCTTAAAATGGATTACCACAGAAAAAAAATTAAACTCTACAAAGGAAAAGGTAACTACACAATTCCTGATTCAAGATTTAACAAAGTACTACATATGAGGTTAAAAAAAAAAGGCCTCTGCATTCAATTAAAGACTAAGTTGCTGGGAAAATCACAAAAGTCAATGATAGGGTGAACCTCTCTTTTCAAAGAGCATCTGGCTCTCAACAAATTAACTCCAATAGAGGCTTTGCATGTGAATTCACAGGGTAGACCTCAGCCATTTTGACAGTTAAAAGTGTGTCAGTTATGACGTTTTGTGAAAAATCGGTATGTGATGGAGAAAAATGGATATCATTTTCGGATTCAACGTACAGGATTTACTGTAGAACCTGTAAAAATTTCAGAAAATAAAATAAGCATAGGCCTCTGTAATAATTCAAAGTCTCCTGAATAGCTAGGTTGATAGTCTTTTCACAAAAGTGTAAACCCATCCACCATGTTTTCTCCAAATGACAGATTTTTTACTTACGATCTGATCACATAGATTTACCTCAATACTCACCATAACTGAACCTTGACAACATCTCCAATAAAATTAACCTATGATCCCTATACTTTTCAAGTAGCTCCTCTGACCTTGTCCTTTTTACATCATTAGCTCCAACATCTACTACAAAAACAACCATTTACTAGACCTTTACCACCATAATTTACCCTATCAATACAGCATTTTTTCACTAGAAAAGTCCGCTGCCCATCATAGTGACAGGTCATTAAATGTTGTAGAGGTCACAATGAAAAAGTTCCTATCATCAATCTGGCACATGTCCATTCTTAAAGTGATACACATACACTCAGTTATGTAAAAACCAATAGGCCTATTTGAAAAAAAAAACTAATTATTTTCACATAGCAGCCTTACTTTAAAAGTTTAATTAAGAAGAAAATGAAAGTAGTTTCTAACAATTTGCTTTCAAAAGCTGTCTAAATATTTTTTTTTATTTTTTGAACATTCATATTTAAATTCATATATTTTGCACAATACAGTTTTATGTGTAACTGAAAACTTTGGGTATAATAAAAATATCAGGGTTTTAAGCTTAGTAGCTTGAGCCTTTTCAGGGTCATCTTCTCAGACTCATCAGACAAATTCTGGCCTGCATTTTCTTTTTTTAAAAAAAACCCTGATTAATGTTTGGGGAAATATATTTATATTTATATATTTTTGTAGGAACAAGAGGTGAAACATGTGTTAAATGTCAGGAAATGCCTAATCACTCATTCATAATATTGTGTGTGCCTTTAAAAACATAGTCTAAAGGTACACTCAACCCCAAGTAAATTTTAAATTCACAATAACAAAAAAATCACCAAATTTCTATGGAAACAAATTTCAACACTTTTATGCGTCTCTTTCAAACAAGCTTTTGTACTGAAAAGAGCACATAAAATTATCAAAATTTTTATCCATATATATTTGGTGTTGTTCCATTACTGTATATTTAAACTTTATCTTAGGTTACATGATATTATGTATTTACCTACTATTACACTCAATCGCTCTTGTTAGTGACCGTTAATGTTTCTAACTTTTCATCATTGACATTTTGCTGTCAGTCAAACTGACTGGTGGCTTCAGTCTCTGTTCATCAAATAGTTTCTGAAACAGTCACTGATGGGTATTTACCAGCTAACTGAAACACTGCAATATCATTAATTCTAGCTTCTGGATAACACATGCTATTTCATTTCTCCCAATTTCTCCAACATTTTTCTCTATCCACAAGACTACCAATGAATTATGAATCACCATCAATTTATCATGTAAGTCTACTACAGTCTCCTTCATCCCAATATTCCCAGTCTTGGAATAGGTATGCTAATTTCTGATATTCTAGGAATTGGTTTACTTGCCCTGAAGTAGCTACTATTTAAATTATCATTCAGGTCCTTCTTCCTCACTCCATGAAAATGTCTGTAACTATCTTCTTGCACAATTTTATCTTTTCTTATCATGTCTCATACTTTCCAAAACACCAACACATCCTCAAGGAATTGTAATTGTAAACCTCTTTATTCTACCCTTTTCTTGTGCCTATCATCAGGCTTTATCTGACACATCCGTTAACTTTTAACTGTCTCTCTGATAATCCTTGGTTCTTTTGCTTCATTCCATGTTTTTACTATGTAAAAACCTTTAAATCCCTACTTTTCTAAATCATAATAACCACCTATTACAAATTACTTAAGCTACTTTCTAACTCTAGTAATACTAATTAATAGTCATACCAATTTGTTCTAATTTCTAGTTCTAGTAGTAGTAGTAAAGTAAGATTAACCCTCTTACACTTACAGTCTAAGATTATTAATTTGACGATTACCTATACAAATTACAAGTTAACTTGTAACAAAATTCAACATCATCTTTGCTAACCTTAAAAACTCGTTACCAGAACTCGAGCTAGTACTAGTACACTACTAGTAGCAGTAGCACAAACATTGAATCAATTACTACTAGTAGTACTAAATTGCCATCATTAGTGTGTATTCATGAGAAAAAAAATTGTTAAACAGTAAATTGTTTCTATTTGCTTAATATTCTCCAATACTGTTTTCATTTTTAAGGCCTATGTTTAGTATACGAAGAATCAACACCTTACCATCAATTAATAACAGCAGACGACTAAAAGGCTAAAAAACAAAAGTTAGTAAGAAGGTTCCCTCGGTGTGAATAGTGTAGTATATAATAATTTGTTATTCCTAATATTATATAATAAAGTTTAAAAGCACACTGGAGCGAAACTATTTTTTTTTTACTTTTTTTTACTTTACAAAGGTAAATTTATGGACTTGCAACGCTAAAATTTGGGGTTCGATTTCCTGCTTAAACACAGCAGACAGCCCAATGTGGCTTTACTCTGAAACAAACAAGTGAAACTTTTAGTGTTGGAATATTAATTAAAAATTTAGTTCTATTTTCTCAAGATTTAAGCTTGATTGTGCTTTAGTTTCATTGAAATATTGTACAACAGAACGGAAGGAATAATTTATGTTTTCTTTATTGAATTTATATATTCTTTTTTTCACCAAATATGTTGCGTTCCTGTGGTGGTATTACTACAAGAAACTTATATGTACATTAAGGAATGTAATCATGGGATTGAACAAAGTGGAGATAGCTTATAATAAACAAGGCCGAGCGCGGCACAGTGATGAACGTGCTGGACTATGGAACCGAGGTTCTGTTGTTCGCATCTCGTACACGCCGTAAAAAATAACAAAACGCACTATGCACTTTATGGCAGTGGGTACGTTATAAAAGTTGTACAATCTCCTTATTTAATTTGAGGAGGTCACGAGTAGTCTATAACTTCCAAATCAGGAACGGCTAACGAAGAAAGCCCTCAAATAATTACACACGATATTCAACAAACAACATCACTGGTTAGCTTCATTGTAAAACTACCCAATCCTTTAATTTTTGTCTGTCGTCATTTCTAATCTCATTCATTACCGTCTTATATAATGAAAATTACTTATCACATTCAAGTTGATTAGGAAGAGGCAATATCTATCGCCAAGTCTTAAAGTTAGCATATGTTTGTGTCCATGAAAAATCTGATAGATGTAGTATTCATGTTCACTATTGTCTAAAAGGTAGGTATCAACTATATCAATAATGGGATGATAAAAAGTTTCGTTTACGAAAAAATAAAATTTTCATTTTGCAAATTTAACAACAAGTGTTACCAAGTTTAACTGGCTGCCTCAAACTGGTTTAAACAGTCTGACAGTTTCAGCTGGATTGGGAGAAATGTGTCTGCAAAAAACAAACAGAAAAAGAGTACAATGACTAGACAAGAGGCAGTACAACAATTGAATATATTGTTACGTCTCCGTTCGTTAGTTAATTTTCCGTAAATTCGTTCCGACGAAACTTTAGCGACACAAGTCCTTTCTTAAATAAAACTGGTTTATTCTTTCTGAATATAACTTTACGATACACTTAATTTCAACAGTCGCTCTATAACAACGCTATGTCTCACGTGGCCAACAATATTTTGTTACCCGTCACACCAAACATGCTCGCCCTTTCAGCCGTGGGGGCATTATAATGTGACGGTCAATCCCACTATTCGTTGGTAACAGAGTAGCCCACGAGTTGGCGGTGGGTGGTGATGACTAGCTGCCTTCCCTCTAGTCTTACACTGCTAAATTAGGGATGGCTAGTGCAGATAGCCCTCGTGTAGCTTTGCGCGAAATTCAAAACAAACAAATAAACTTAAGGTGGACTTTGTCCTTTTGAACAACCATATCTCTCCTCAATGTTGACTTTAAAATTATTTCTAATGTGTTATATATGTATGTTTGGGAGCTATTTTGTCTCATCTTGTTCTCATTACCTAAATGTGTGATCTAAAAGGTCAGCGTACCAACCAGAATCTTCTAATTATGCATGACTTGTTTCATTATATCAGTTATAAGAATATCCCAGCTATTTTTGTATATATTAATCAAAGTGTATCATTTGATTATGTTAACCATTATTTTTGTTGTGTGTTTTGAGGAGATATGGGTTTCCAATTTTTCTTCATAATATTCACTCCTTGTATGGTACTACTTCCAACAAATTCTTAGTAAATGGTTTTTTAATGACACATTTCCACATTCGTCAAGGTGTGGGGCAAGATTGCCCACTGTCCCCTCTTTTGTACACCTTAATCATCGAATGTTTGTTATTTTATGTTTGTCATACTTGTGAAAATTCATGGTACTCTCTTACCTAGAAGCAAAGAGTTTCTCTTAAATATACTAGAAATGTGGATGATGTTAACCTTTATGTCTAATCAGACTTCTCTTGGAAATGCTCTTAATGCCTAGTGGGGCTAAGTTGAATTTGTAAAAGACTCGGACATAGTGTTTGGGGAAAGCATATTCTCTGATAATGAGACATTTTGGATTGTTACGTCTCCGTTTGTTAATTGATTTTCCCGTAACTTCGTTCCGACGAA